CAAAAAGTAATAAAATTCAATACAAAAGTAAATCATATTTCTGAATGGATGAATAAATGACTCATATTTCCTCAAACTACAATGCAAAAGATCTAGATTTTTTAAAAAAGGGAGAAGGGTTATCAACTGCTCCAAAGCTGCAGGTATTCAATTAGGGATTTTTCTAGCATTTTTATCTCTTCTTTCTTCTTCAGATACAACAGGAAATCAAACGTTTAACATTGAAAAGCTTTTGAAATGTTGTCAAAGAATCAAAAATGTTTTGAATTATATAAAAGATACAACAAAAAGCCCGTCTTCGAACATTAGAGTTTGGTACTCAGTAAACCTTACGCTATAGACAATGACATATTGAAACATCTACAGGTTCAACGGGCCCGTGTAACTCAGTTGGTTAGAGTGCTGTACTTATAAACAGTAACAGTTAAGTAATGCAGAAGCCGGCAGTTCGAACCTGCCCTCGGGCACCAACCTTTTTTTGTGACTTTACTATGTTTCAAATTTTCTTTCTGTGGTCTAAAATTTAAACTTCGAGTTGTCACTAAACAGTATTTTATGAATCGTTTTTTATCTATCAACTGAACCTAATAGGTGAAACAGTAAAGACAACTTTTTTAGAATATTTTCCGACCAGAAACGAAATAATGAAGAAAACTAACATTCCACCGACTTTGTTCGTTCGAAGTTTAAGAGAATGGAATGTTTTTCGTAGTTTTCTGAATAGAGCTTCGAAGTTCAAACTAGCTCAAACTTCGAAGGAACAAAGTCATGATCTTTTTGAGGAAATATGAGTCATTTATTCATCCATTCAGAAATATGATTTACTTTTGTATTGAATTTTATTACTTTTTGTATGAGGTATTGTTTACATAAGAAATTTAAAACTTATGAAACAATTCAAATTGTGAGGCTGTTTTACTAGGATATCTCAAAGAGAGACAAATCGTCGAGAACCTCAATCAGCTGACTGGTTCTAAAATCTATCAGAAGACATAGCATTTAAAAAGTTCGTGAAAACTGAACCTTTTTTTCATACAATTGGTCAAAGCGTTATACGGCGTGGCCAGCTAACGGTACCCCTTCGGATGAGAAGGTTCGAATTTTTGTTTGAGAAATTAGGCCTTCTGATCAAGTCTACCATGGTCTACCTCGTCGAACACAATCTGAACGCTTCCCGTTTCAAGAGAAATAATGTATTTTGAATTCTAACAGGTTTACTCGAACCTCTGGACTGTCCTGTTTAAGACTACACAAGTTCCAAAATTCTTAGTCCCATATGGGCATTTTTCTAGGATCCACCTATCGGCTAAACTTCATGTTTGGAAACTTCTTAAACAGGACAGTCTAGAGGTTCGAGTAAATCTGTCATAATTCAAAATACATTATTTCACTTGAAATAGGAAGCCTTCAGATTGTGTTCGACGAGGTATACCATGGTAGACCCGATCGGAAGGTCTAATTTCTCCATAGATTTCTTTTTCAGTACCTCCTCTAGCAAAAACTGGAAACCGCATGGTTTTAACTCTTTCTGTTAAAAAGTTATTCAAAAAATACTTTTTTCCATTCTGTTTGGAAATGGATAGTAGATTACTAAATTTTACGATTTTCCTCTATTATAACTTCAAACATCACATAATTCGTGAATTTATTATATCCCAAGGGAAATTTGGATGTCATATACTTCAATTCCCTGAGCGCTATCAGGGAGTATGAATATTCCTCCTAGAGAATGTACACATTCCCTACAAAAGTCAGGGAATGTATAGATTCCCCAGAAAATGTGCACATTCACTGATTTCCTACATTCCCTGTAATATATTCACAGGTCAAAAACATGGAATACCTCAGGATTAAAGAACATATAAATTTTACAACAGTCACTTATGGTGACGTCCGTTCGTAGCATCAACATTGGGAGGAAAACAAATCTTCCCGTATATCTTTTCTACAGGAAGAAAGCGAACGGCTTTGGTTAGAGTAAAACTATACTACGGTCGAATGAACAGAAGAAATCAGTTGTGAAATGGAAGAAAAAGTTAAGTGGGCCTGACCGGGGATCGAACCCGGGGCCTCTCGCACCCAAAGCGAGAATCATACCACTAGACCATCAGGCCACATCAACAAATCCAAAGGACAGTTATTTGAATTAGGCATATGAAGAACGAAAATACTCAAATAAACCAGATCAACAGAAATTTTTATAACATGATTACAATCCATTTCACAATTTAGTACAAAAGACTCTGTTTGAATAAGGTTTGATTGGAAAAAGACAGAGGCATAGGATTTTTGCCATTCAACAGTCCCAAGTAAGACACCTTGACTGCAGATCTTGATAAAAACTTGAAAGATTTTTAAGTTTCTATTCAGTTCTTTCAAGATCTTATGCATGTAGATTTATCAATATCTGACAAGATCCTGAGACCATCTCACAGTTCAAGATTGTCGGCAGTTTTTGTTACAGAATATGTCTGATGCATCTGTCCGATGATCTGATCTGATGATTTAATTAATTCGTCAGCATCGTGACAGATTTTCGATATCGGCATAAAACCTTGGTGAACTCCTTAATAGTTCTTTGAGTTCGTGAGGTTGTATTTTCAATTATTTTTATTTTTATCTACTGTACTCTACAGCACAAGCTCTGCTGTATGAATGGTATTGCAAAATTTACAGCTCTTACGCTATCGCTCAGACAATATCTCAGTCAAACGTTGTGCCCATAATGGACTTGAAAAAGTTTTCACGCTTTTACAGTATGAACAGTGTTTCTTATATACGCATGAGCACTGCAAAACAGAGACAGCGAGGGAGAGAAGGACAAGTATAAATTTATTCATTTATCTACCTGGTAGACTAATAGCATAGAAAGACGAGACCTCTGTAATGTAGTAGCATAATGAATACTAATATCTGTGGCATTCTAAGAATTACCCTTCTCTCGTTTACTTTGTCTGAAGATTGAACTAATTTCCCTATTAGTAATTTTTTAATGAGTTCAGAAAAGTTGCCAAATCTTCTCAAGATCTGATACAGAATTTTAAAGACGTCAGACTCTCAACCGTAGTAAGTCTTGATCAAGATGTTTTTGATCTCTTGTATGCTTGGTTTTCTTCAGATGAAGAAACAAGAAAGAGCAGCTCTAAGAATACGCGTTTCAACTTTCTATCAAGACGCTGCCGCAGGCAACTTGAAAAGCACGTGATATTTCTTTAAGAAAGAAGGTTATTCAGAGGTATAATCACTTTAAAACCATAAAAGATTTGCCTAGTAGTGGATGCCCACGAAAGCTGGATAATAAACAAATGTGCACATATCACACGTCGATTGAACAATAACAGTGGGATCAGTCTAAGAAATTTGGATGTTCGTTACAATCTTGCTCATACGATGATTGGGCGTAATTTAAAGCAACGAAGAAGTATTCGACCCAGAAAACGAATCAAAGCACCAAAATATGTGAAAGATCAAGAGAAACGCGCACAAAAGAATTGCGATGTCTTGCACCGTCAGATTCCAAAGGATTGCTTTATCGTGATGGATGACGAAAAGTATTTTGATTCAAGTGGGGTTGATATTCCTGAAAATGCATTTTTCTATACGAAGGATGCCTCCACTGCACCACCGAACGTTAAATACAAGCAGTATCAAAAGTTTGAACCGAAACTGTTGGTATAGCTAGCGATATCTGCTAAAGGATGTTCGAAGCGATCGCGCCGCGAATGGGGCGCGACAGTGGACCTGGATGGACATCAAATGTCAGATGGCGGGCATGTAATCACTTTTTAACTCGTGAGGAGCAAGATTGAACAAGAAGTTGATCGAATTGGTTTATTTTAATTGCATTAATCAGTGCCAACATACCCGCTAAAAAGATTATCTATGGGCCCCCATTTGATGTCCCTAGATGGAATTACGAAATGAACAAGAATAACATGCGAACATATACATTAATCGAGATGCAAAATGACTTCTCATTTTAAATTCAACAATAAGTGAGTCAAAGTAATTGTCTTCTTGGGTCACCCGATGGACAAAGAAAACACTAAGCTACAAAATCAATGTCCATATGCATCGAGTGGTCACTGTCCGACTCGTCGATTCAATCGACCGTTAAGCCAATATATAAAAATTCTTATCTCCCTATGAAAGAACCATATTGACCGACAGGATATATTCCTCATCCACTTTGTTCAATATTTATTTATCCTCAATTTTATGTTGCACTTCTTTTTCTTTCCTTACATAATTTTCACTTTTCTCTTCTTTTCATTTCCTTGTTCCTCCTTTTATTTTTCTTCGTTTACCTTTATACAGATATTCTCTTCATTCTATGAGGTGGAAACAAGATTATTCCACCTCACAGAAATCGCTCAGTGTGACATGAGTTATAAACAAAAGAACTTCCGATTCGTTTCGAACAAAATGTTACAAAACGTTTACGACTTCAGACGGACCATTCGTAGTCTAGTCCTTAGTGCAAATAGTAATTACGGATCTCTCGCTACAGGATAAAAATACCAGCGAAATTCAATCATTATTAACTGACTTGTAAGCCTGGTTACGGAACATTCACGGGACAGAAACGAACTCTGTTTCCGGAAAAACTATAACATCTCTGTCAATCAGGGGCGTAACCAGAGGTGTGTCTGCAAATGGGCAATTGCTCATTTCATTTGGAGATTTGCCCATTGTAATTTTAAACCGTAAGGTTTTGCTAATTAAAATTTTACTTTTTCAGAATTGTTTGTTTATTTTTGAATTAGATAGTAAATGTAATTTTTTTCATCCGTCTGAATCCCACATGCACTCTTTGCTTGTTCTTTCTATGAAGAATTAAGAACGGAACAAGAAAAGAATCGCTTCTTGTATTTTAACTTATTCATGTTTTTTGCATACATTCATAAAGATCTCGATATAAATCCAGATGAAATATTGAAATTATATATACAAATACATACACCTGACTTAGGCTTGAGATTTGAATTTGATGCATATTTGATTAAAAGGATTTCACTTCATTTCATTCAAGTTTCTGCAAGACGCGATATACACAAAAAAAGCTATACGCAAAAAGAATCTGTCCCAGCCCGCCGCCCATGCTTTGTTGGGCCAAAAATTTTATAGCCCATCAATAAAAACCTTGCCCATTTGCCCATGGTTTTTTTCAGACACAACAGAAGTTTGCCCATTAGTCTAAAAATCCTGGTTACGCCGCTGCTGTCAGTATACAGCTTAAAAAAGCACAGTTAGAAGACGTTAGAGCCAATAATCGGAATAAGTATAGGTTAAAAGAGTATACTCATCTAAAATTAGATTCTGTGAAAAATTCTGCTCTTCAAAGACATTGTTATGAAACTGGACACTCTATCGATTGGAATGAGTGGCGTGTGATAGATCGTGATTCAATAGAATATAGACTGTTAGTCACAGAATCTCTCTATATCATTGCAAGTAATCCTAGCCTAAACAATACTGTTAGATCTGTTCCTTTGACTGTCTATCGAGACGGATTCTCTCGAATAAAAAAGTACGATCGTAGCGGTCGAGTTGAACAAAAACAATAGAGAGAACTACAAGTATGTTTACTACATTTTTATTTTTGTTCCCTATCTATTTCTTTCATAAATTTTCTCTACTCTCAGTCAAATGTTTTTATATATATTGATACAATAGTGCAGTTGTACATTTAAAAATTTTAATTGTACATTTCTCTTGAAAATGACTCTAAGAAGAGACTGAAACGTCGAGTATATTATTTGAAAAATAAATACTTAATTTTATTCGTCAGTTATGGTTGCTTTGCTAAAACATTACTTAAAAAAGCAGTTTTATGCGAATAAATTACTCGAATCTACGAGTCATTGCTACTATTTCAGATTTTTTTCTAAGTAGTCTCATCTTGTAGAGCCTGGTCGAAAATCTATAAATGCAAATTCTTAGGCTTCCCGAACTTTTCGTTCTGTAGTTATAAAATTTTTTCGACTGGAGTAAAAGTTCGAGAAGTTATGCGCGTGAAAAAACATAACGGGTGGTACAAAAGTTCTGCATTAATTTTGTTTTCAATATAACTTTACCATGCAAAGTCGTAGAGATCTAATTCTTTTTTTATTAGAAAGAGCATCTTTGATACGACAGAAAAATGTTTAGTGACAAGTTGAAAAAACTCCCTGTCGCCACATTTTCCCCAGCTTCGCGTGGACACCCAACATCATGTTCTTCAACATATTCTCGTCTAATTCTTTGATCATTTTTCGTATTCACCGAGGAAGATGGTTCAAGTTCTTTGCTTCACAATTATTCTTGTAGATCATCTGTTTGAGTGTACCCCAAAGTCTTCGATTGGTCTGGCCTGAGGTGCATTGGGAAGATTTTTCTCCTTGGGCCCGTATGGTACATTTTCTGCTTCCAATGTACTCAGCACTTGTGGTGTGCAATGGGCTCGAACCAAATCAGACCAGAATATGAAATCTGTTCCCAAATGATTTTCTTTGATGAACGGACGCAATCGAAGCTGGATGCATTGTTTTAAATACGTTTCACTGTTCACCGCATTCTTGCTGATATGGATGTAAGGTTTCGGACATCCTTTAGCAGATATCGCTAGCTATACCAACAGTTTCGGTTCAAACTTTTGATACTGCTTGTATTTAACGTTCGGTGGTGTCGTGGAAGCATCCTTCGTATAGAAAAATGCATTTCCAGGAATATCAACCCCACTTGAACCAAAATACTTTTCGTCATTGATAAAAAATGAAAAACTGATTGATGATCGGAAGGAGAAGCTAGGTCGAACACAGCAACATGTTATTAAAATAGAACCGTTTCCAAAAAGGTTTTCTGGAAAACCCTCGTTTTCCCGAGACGCTCTAGAAAACCTCTACAGATTATTAAAGTGTTTCTAATAGATTTCCCAGCCCCTTTTACCTATAAAACTGGTTTTTCATATAAATGACTCAAAACTGAAAATTTTATTTACTAAAGACCTGACCGATTTTGGAGGAAGTCGACCCATTTTCATTAAATCTGAAATATCGCAGTAACAGACCAAAATTATAAGAAATCCAAAATTTACTTGTTGCTCGTACTTTGACGATTACGATGATATACAAGTGGAGACTATATCTCTTCAAAGAAAAACTGGATAGGATTACAGAAAAAAATGAGGCTTTGAACGCACTTTCGAGCGCCAAAAAAAGCGCGAAAAATTAATTTTTTTAAGAACTAACCATTTTTTGCCATTTTATACGGTATAAGATTTTTAAATTTTTTCACTATAAAATTTTTTTTCAAACTTAAAAGATACTTTTTCTTAATCGAAACCTCGTCACGCTCTATCCTCCCGTGTATAAAGAAATGAAACATAAATCAATGAGCGAATTTTGAATTAGAGGCATCTTACGTCAATCTACCCATGTTTTCATGACGATTACTCCATTAAAAAAATGTGAATGTCCTAGTATTCATGAGGCTCGGGAATTATCAAACTAAGCTATTCTATAGGAAGCCCATCACTCCATATAGAAAGTTCTCATGATAATGTCAAACTTTTAGGAAAAGCTCTTGACAAAACGTGGGCCGTTATAAAAAAATCTTTGAGAGGATGTTATCGTCTTGTCCAACTGGATTCATCAATGAGCACCTCACTGAGATGTACTAGCTACCTAATTTTGACAAATATAAGTTTGAGACTTTATCTTCATATGTATTCGACTCGCCTTAGCAGTACCTGTTATAGTCAGCTGCACAAATACTTTGTTCACTCTCATTGCTCAAACAGGATAAAGCAGCAAAAGCAAAAACTACGTTTTTGTTCCAGAACTTTTGCATAATACTGTGGTTTTGTTCGCTAGCAGAATGAGTCCGAATGATTAATGAGAAATAATAATTTTTTCTGATGGATTGATCACAGCCATACCAGCGTAATGAAGGTCAACATGTTTTCCTCCAGTTATTGTTGTCGCTCGCCTCGTTGCGGATGTCTCGTTGTGATTTGTGCTGCTATTTCTGCTTGATTTGTTCTCTTGTTCGTGGTAAATAATATAGGAAAAATATATTTCAAACAATAATCGATAGCCATACTTTTACATTCGTGACGATATGTTTCTGATGTCAAATAGTGAATATAAAATGTCAACGAATTATTAATGTATATAAGAAACGTACTACTGAGGAATGCAATAACAATTCAACCGACAATCTCAAGTAACTTTTTCGAACATTGAATATTACTGCAGCATAAAATGAATTAATTCCATATAAAGTTGCCATCAAAATATAAATCTGAACCTCCATAAATAACACTGACATCAGTTGGGTTTCACGATGTTTGCTTCGCTGCGGATGCGCACCACCAAGCGGTTATATACATTGACGAATGTGTCTTAAATTTCTATATGCTAAACAAGTAAAAATAATCGTTAACACGAATAGCAGTGTGCCAGCCACAATTAATATGTATATACTGTAAATAAGATTATAGATTCGGGGAAAATTCATTTTTGTTGTTGAATTGTTTGCAAACATGAAAGATTTATGGGAATGACGAACCATGCAAGTGATGCCACAGCGGCCAGACGACGTGCGATACGAGGACGACTAAAGAATTGTTATTATACCCAAACATAGAACAAAGATATTCGCAATTCAGCCTGACCCTTGTGATCGATTCTTGCAAAAGAATCTGGCAGGAATCTGATCTTCAAGTTTCCGCAGTACATTAATACGAAAACAGCTTCGGAAATCATATGTCAAATGTAATGAGTAAAAGTGAGCAGTAAGCTTTTTCTTGAAAGGTGTTAGTTTGGGTATTATAGTAATCTCATGGGGTATCTGGTGCCGTTCTATAGGCAATTTAGCAAGGTAAGTAGTGATTTGGTAGTCAAATTCCTAACTTACCTTCGTCGATTTCCAACACGTAGTTTATATCGAATC